GACGTGTGCTCTTCCGATCTAAGCCAATCAAAAGCTTGTACTATAGTGCCGTTTGCGGCTAAACTGCGTTAGATGGTTGACTGGTGATGTCATTTCCAATTACAAATTTCTTACCCCCACCACCGATATGCTCTTACCAGTCCTCCATGGTTCCAATTACTGTATTTTACAGTGTCTCTCTGTGTCACACTGTGTAACACCAGGCTTTTCTTGTTGGAAACCACCCTACATAACGGCTGCGTTCCGCAAAGCGCATTATGAGCAAGATTTATCTTTTTATCTTTGTTTAACATTTGATGAACAACAAGGATATGCATGATATATCATGCGCATGATGCGCTTTGCGGAACGCAGCCAACGCTGCATAATGCATATGACGTAAGGCATAAAAGAATCAACCAATTAGAGTATAAAATGAAGGACTCTGATTAGTTGATTTTCTTATTGCCTTATGTTTTATGCGTAATGTAGTGTTATGCAAAAGCTTGTCCTCCCGCTTTTCCGGTGCATGCAATGCAATCGCGCCGACATTCTCTTGATTCTTTTATTTTTCTGTTCTCAATTTACTGATAAATGACCGGTGTGAAGCCAGCTGATAAATGCTATTATTGCTCGCGCGATTCCAATTTAACGACCGTCGATAACGAGTGCATCGCTTCAAGGTACCTTTTCATGTTGACGCTCGACGCTCATTTTTAACTCAAAACAGCACACTTGATTAAAATTGACGAATACCAAATATCAATTTTGATCTGTTTTGACGCTAAAAATGAACATCGAGCGTCAGTAGTAAAAGGCATCTTTAACTGGATTTTCTCGTCCTAGCTGCACTTTCTGCACTTGTTAGTAATTTTAGCATAAAGTAAACATGTTCATAAAAACGAATTCAAGTGTTTGGATCTGCATGCTAAAAAGTTGCCTATACAAAATTAAATGCGAAAATGCAATATAAACGTCTTTATAAACAAAATACCCACGCATTATTTCGCGTGTATATTAATATATTTTGGACACTTTATCGGTGCTTACGTCACGCTGTCGCACTTAAATAATTTTACATATAAATAAAATACATTCTCTGTTAATTGCTAAGTGCACAATCTATTTTTTTATATAAAAATTTCTGATATTGGAAATGATATTAAAATAACAAGATGTTTGATAGAAATAATGTGTTAATTATTATTTTTTTACATATTCCAGCTGCTCAGTTGGTGCACATTAAGACGGATCTACATTAAGCTGGTTTTAAATTAGTTGCAAGCCAATCGCAAACTTGTTACGACAGCCAATCCAAAGCATTGATTTTAAAATCCAAGCTTCAGATTGGCTATCGCAACAAGCTTGCGATCGGCTTGCAACTAACACATTTATGTTTTTGTGTGTGTCGGCCATTGTCGGTCGTAGCCTTTGAGTATATAGATACTTGGACACAGTTTTCGAGCCAACATTCCCTCTCCATGTCTATATACTCAAAGGTCGTAGCTTGATTTGCAAAACAATGCGCAACATTTTCTGAAGCAAAGTGTAAAATAGAGTGTAAAAACGGACTGTTATCGATCTCGTGCGCTTCGCAAGCGTCCACTGCGCTGCGTCTGTCGAAAGCGCTTACACTGCACACAGTAGTTACAGTCAATTTTTCGAGTTGAGCTCGCTGCAAAGATGTCGATTATATTTACGCCGACGAATCAAATACGGCTGACGAACGTAGCCGTTGTTCGTATGAAAAAAGCTGGCAAGCGATTCGAAATTGCATGCTACAAAAATAAAGTGATATCATGGAGAAACAAATTGTGAGTCTCTTTGGCTGAGAAGTTCCGCCAGTTTAACCTAATTTAGTTTCTCTGTTATTAATTTACATTAAGTACATTATCCAGATAGTACCACTATGTATTAAATGAAGGACTTCCTGAAAAAACAGTGCGATCATTTTTATGAAAAATAATAGTTCAATGGGAAAATGTTGCTTGTGCATTGGCATGTTTTTCTTTTCCTGTAAAATTTAAAGAATTGGATACAACATTTTTCCAAGAAGCCCTTTAAATCTCTTTGGCAATTGTATCTACAAGGTTTTACTTTATTTCTTTTTCTCCTCGTCTCCTTTAAAACTCCCTTAATTTGTTTATCTTCTCAGAAATTGTAGTTTCAGTCATTATTAAGAGTCATTTTCAAAAGAATTGTGTTATATAATTTATTTTTCTGGTATTATTCAGAAGATTCATTTTGTTCTTTGTGTAACATGAAACTAAATATGTTCATTATTTCTCTTGGAAATGTGTTTCAGAGAAAAGGATATTGACGAAGTACTACAAACGCATACAATATTCACCAATGTCTCAAAAGGTCAGGTGGCAAAGAAGGAGGATCTCATGAAAGTTTTTGAAACTGAGGATCAGACCGAAATCTGCAAACAGATTCTCGCTAAAGGTGAACTTCAAGTTTCTGACAAAGAGAGGAATTTGGCCTTGGAGTCCATGTTCAAAGACATTGCCACGACAGTTGCTAGCAAGTGTATAAATCCAGAGACCAAGCATCCATATCCAGTTACCATGATTGAAAACGCCATGAGGGAAGAAATACACTTTTCCGTCAAACCTAATCGAAACACCAAGCAGCAGGCATTGGATGTTATCTCACAATTGAAAGAGGTGATGCCTCTGGAGCGTGTGCAAATGAGGCTCAGGATTGTCATTCCGGAAAAAGAGGCTAGGAAATTGAAGGATAAAGTCATTAAGTTTACAACTAAAATGGAAAAGGAAGAATGGGACAATGGATCGTTAACGATAATCTGCTTAATTGATCCAGGTCAATACAGAGGAATAGATGAATTTATACGGTCAGAAACAAAGGGTGCTGCTTTATTGGAATTAGTTAATTTAAATGAGATAGTCGAAGGGGAAGAACTCTTAACGTAAATTGTGAATGGAATTATTACGTACCTAGATACTGTTATTCACTGAGAGAGAAATTGGTATTTATTATTTCTAATTTATAGTTTAAGTATATGTTGACAATTTTGTTACATCTTAACAGTATGGCTAATAAAACAATTTGTATTTGTATATATAAGTTTCATTGAAGCAAATTATCTACATGTACAACATTATCATATAACATCTTTATCACGACATTGTTCCTATTGAAAAAACTGCAATAAATCTTCTTATTAAGATTCAAAATTAAGAATTACACACTCTCCATGTAACTAACTTTATTCTATTCTCTGTAAAAATTGCAATTTTATATATGTAATGGAATACATATCCATTATGAAAATGTATGTCTATTACTTGATTAAGCCTATAGACAAACATTTGATAACAAGTAGTTTTAGAATACTTATTTATTCTAAAGAGTATAGCGGGTTAAGGAGGTGATTTCGGGCCTCGCGCGTAATCGATCGTTATAGTGGGTAAAATGTCCACCCAGATAAAAGAAAATTTTGTGTCAAATTTCATTTCAAAGACCCACACAATTTCGAAATATTACAAGAGATGTGATTTTTTTTGATATTTTTTTTCTCCGCCAAATTTGAATTAATCTTTACAAAAAAAATCATGGTTACAAAGGCTATCCATATACATAAGTTTGAATTTTGTTGTTCTGTGCTGAAAATTCTGTTTTAAAAAAAATCCAGAATATTTTAAATCGCATTTTCTCTAGATCTAAAAAATTGGCCACTTTTTAAAAAATTCAGTGGATAAGTCTTATGCCATATTA